ACCCTGGGTTTCGCGCGGTGCTAGGCCGTCTCGGCTTCAGCCCAGAGGGTCTGGCGCCGCGCGTTGACCGAGGAGTGCGCTGGTCAGGCGTGGTGGCGGCGTACGTGCACCTCGCCCGGGAGGATGTGCGCTTGGGGAGGCGCCCAGAGGGCCGCCGTGAAGTCCAAGTTGCTCTCGGTGCGTCGCGCAGGAAAGCAACCATGCAACGTGCAAATCCTGGCCAGCATCTTCGAGAGTCACAGCGGAAGCACGGCCCGGAGGGCCGTTGTGAAAATCAGCGCGGCGCTGCGGACGCTCGATGCCTTCGGAAGAAGACGCGGCCCTCGTAGACGCTGACCGCGTTCGTAAGATGTTTCTCTCCGTCCCTGGCTTCGGCCCCTACCGCTCCAAGTCCGCGCTCCTCTTCTGGGGCCACCAGCTCGGGCGCTTCTCCGATGAGACCAGAAGGGCGCTCGCCCGCATCGCTTCCATCGCCGTGAGCGAGCTTGGCAGGGGCGCGGCGAGGACGATCGCGCTCAAGGGCGTGACGCGGGCTCTCGAGCAATCGCGGGGAGAAACCACACCGTGGAAGGAGCTCGACCCCCGCAAGTTAGCCTGCCAGCTGCGCCTCTGGTCTCGGTGCGATTTTGGCGCCGAGGTGGCGCCATTCGCCGCCGTCGCGGAAACCGTGGTGTGCGACCCGCAGTAGGAGGAGCGCTGTGGGATCGTCCGCCCGTCCGTCTGTCCGTCCGTCCGTCCGTCCGTCGCCGTCTTGGTCGTGGTCGCGGTCGTCGTCGTCGTCGTCGTCGTCGCCGCCGTTTCGTTCGCCGTCGCAGTTGCGCTCGTCGTCGTCGTCGTCGTCGTCGTCGTCGTCGTCGTCGTCGTCGTCGTCGTCGTCGTCGTCGTCGTCATCGTCGTCGTCGTCCTGCGTCGTCGGCGGCGGTCGGCAGGCGGCGGGTCGGCGGTCGGCGCGTCGGCGGGCCGGGGGGCCAGCGGATCGGCGGGCGCCCCCCCGCGCGCGCAGAGACAGGGAGGGCCGCGCGGCAGAAACTCACCCGCTCGCTCCGCTTCTGTCAGCCCCGCGTTCTCTGACATCGGGGCGGCGGCGGCGGCGGCGTTTCGTTGTTTGTCCTTGAGCCCCCCCGGGGGCCCTTCGTCGCCACAGCTGAAAGCGCTTCGTAATCCTGGTCAGAGCGCACTTCTGGCAAGGTCGGGGGCGGCGGCGTCTCTGGCAGCAGCGTTTTTTGCCTTGTTTTTCTTTTTTCTTTTCTGGGGGCATCCCAGGGGGCCTTCGTCGCCGCAGCTGGAAACGCTTCGCAATCCTGGTCAGGGCGCGCCCCTGGCAAGGTCGCGGGCGGCGGCGGCGGCAGTTTTTTTTTTTTTTTTGTGTTTTGTTGTTCGTTTCCGCGTTTTCTTTTTTCGGGGGCCGGGCCCTCGTCGCCGCAGTTTCTCATTCCCCCCTCCTCCTCCTCTTCGTCCTCCTCCTCCTCATATTCCTCCTCCTCTTCCTCTTCCTCCTCCTCTTCCTTCTCCTCCTCCTCCTCCTCCCCCCTCCTCCGCCTCCTCCTCCTCTTCCTCTGGCGACGCAGGAAACCGAAGCCGCAGTTGAGACATGCCATGATGTCCATTTCCGCGGCCCCCAGTAGGAGAGGAAGTGAAAGGCGCGGGATACATTATCCCGTGCTGTCGCCCACGCCGAACCCGCGGAGGGAGGCGGGAGGACAGATAGCGAGGGACAAGCTAAGCGCGCTCGCACCACATCTGACGCCCGACCACTCCCCCCGTCCCACTGATCCACGTTTTGTTTATTCAACGGGCCGAGTGCCCAATCGGACCGGAATGCGCCGATGGCATCAGCGCCGCTTGCCTCGCCTCCCATTGTCCGGAGGGCAAGCGGGCCAGACTGGACCGGGACGCGCAGATGTAGGACGGGACTGGCTGGGCGGCCGGATTTCCGATTCCCCGCGCGGCTACTGGGCGACCATTGGGGCTAGCCGCGGGCGCCCCGAGGGCGCCTCCCAGATCGCCAGGGCGCCTCGGCGCATCTCGCTCCGCGCGCCCATCCCGTGACACTTCGCTCGCGCTGCGCAAGCGCATCCATGAAGCGCCCAAAGCGTCAGACGCCAAGAAGATGCAAATGAAAGGGTTCCTCGTCCAATGGCCCCCACCGCACACGTATCGATGATGCTGCAATTCCTCTTCCCATTCCCAAGCCCCTTCGCCATTAGTTTCCACAGGCATGCTCTTCATGCGCGCGGAGCGCTTCCCTGAACACGAGTCCTCCATGGGCCCACACTTCAGAGGGAAGCTCCGTTTTGAAAACAACCGCCCTCCATCCTTGGAGCCATGAGTGAGGCGCGCATGTGGGCCTTGCAGCTTCAGGAAGTCCCGAGCGACAGCCCCGTTTTCAAAAGGAGCCACTCTCCCATCGTCTAGCTGTCTCGCAATTTCTAACACCCCGCTTGTAAGCCTAGTGCACGCCAGACGACGCTGCAAGCCTTGGAGACGAATGTTCGTGGCGCTACTGCGGCGGGCGCCGCAATCGAAAAAGGTCAGCCCTCCTTGCGTTTTGTACATGTGGGTGTTTTTCTATCTTTGTAGTGAGTTCTACGGACGCGCCTGGTGGGTCGGTAGGCCACCAAAGGGGGGTTTTGTACAGGGAAAAGGGATGGAGAGAGGGCTCTCGTCGGGCTGGTGCCGTTTGGATGCGGGGATCTCATCCTTTTTGTTTGCTGCGCGTTTCGTCATGGATCCATTCGCTCCACTCGGGCTAATGCAAACCGCTGTGCAGACATTTGAGAAAATAATTTGCCCTTGGCAACCTATTCTAATTTATCGTCGCGGATATCCCCAAAAATATGTGTACATCTGTTTTGGTCGAGTTCCCTTTTTCTGATCGTATCTGAGTGATCGAGCCGGAGCGACTGAGTACGAGCATGTCTGCATGTAAGTGACTCCCGGTCTGTGTGGGCCTGCTCTGGCGGTTTCTCCTTCATAAGCTCAAGCGCCATGTCGGAGACATCTCGGTGGCCATGGGTGTTCTCAACAGGAACGCATTTTTTGTTGCTGTGTTTCTGGTCCTCTTTAGCGCCCTCCTTAGCCTGTGCTCAAACGGGCCCGTGCAAGGCCCCTTTGGCGGCTTCTCTTTGGGAAGCCCCAGTGTCATGCCTGTAACATTGTGAGAATCATGCGGCGCTGGGGAGAGACACGTACGCCCCCTCCCAGAGTGGCTACTTCGATTTAGAGGTGCCCGCAATCTGGGCTCGAACGTCCGTGCAACTTGCCCTGGTAGCTTTCTTGTCTTTCCTTTGAGAGGCCCAAGGGCCATGTGCAAAGAGAGTCGCCCCCCCTCCCCACGCGGCAATCTTGCTTGACAGGTCCCCGCGTCTGCCATCGGGAGCGAGTCACGCACATGAAAACCACGTCCGGGCGACGGTAAGTACGGCCTCCGGTCTTGGGCGTTGGCGGGGGAGCGGCCTCCGGATGGCCTCCAGATCTCTCTGCTTGATCGGCCTCGGGCGCGCGGCTTCGACACCGCGCGCAGGGTGCGCGCGAGACTTTGCAGGCAGAGAGGGCTCTCTCGGGCTCACTCCGTTTTCGTTGGCCAATCCCCACAAGGGTACCCAGGGGCGGAAAGGATACTCGCCCGTGTCCGTTGAGGCCCCCCTACCATACCCCGCTCAATACGATCACGCTTGCAGTGACACGACCGCCGATCCCGTCACCAGCTGGGTCCATATCGGGTAATCGGTCTGGTTTGATCCCACGCTTGATAGTGATAGAGCAATGTGTAGCTGCCTCGATGAGGGCTATGGCCAGACCGCTCGATGGACAGGACTTTGGCCAGATACTCGGTATCCAGCTGTCTGCGGCAAACCCTGCCACCGTGCTGAGCAATAGCGCAGCACGAAGGAGACTCAGCGCAGGTCATGCGCAATTCCGACTACTGGTCTGGACTGGGACGGGTCATGAACTCGACTTCGTCTTCGTCCGTGCGGCAGTGGGGAGGTCGAGTTCACGCCTGGCTGCAGTTCAGCGAGCAGACTGAGGCGGGTCGTGAATTCGACCTCATGTCCGTCCGCGCGGTAGGGAGGAGAATGATGAGGAGGAGAAGGACAAACATACAGGCAAGGAGGAGAAGGCTTCTTATGGGACTCTCTTGGGGCCTCCTGTGAGCCTCCTGGGGGACTCTTGGGAGCTTCTTGGGGGCCTCTTGTTGCCTTTGAGCACCTCTTGGGGCCACTTGCGCCGTCTCAGGGGGCTCTCGGTCCGTCAGACGCCTTCGTTGGCCGTCTTGGGGGCCTCTCTGGGCCGTCTTGGTGCCCTCTTGGAACGCGGTAGGGCCGTCTTGGGGCCATCTTGGAGGCTCGTGGGCGGTCTTGGGATCCTCCTGGGCCGACTTAGGGCCCTCTTTGGGGGCCTCATGGGCTGTCGTGGAGCCTTCTTGGAGGCCTCTTGGGCTGCCTTGGGCGGTAGGAAACTCAAACAGGTGAGAACCTCACAAGCCTTCAGACATCTGAAGAGAATCCATATTTTTCGCCTCCCCGGGCTCTCTGGGAAGGCCTCTTCGGCCGTCCTGGACGCCCCTCGAGCCATCCTGAGGCCATGTTGGGAGCCTTTATATGCCGTCTCGGGCCATCTGGCGTAGTTTTGGTATGTCTTGAACGCCGTCTCTCGCCGTCAGGAGGCAGAACGCCGCCAGAAAGCAGATGCAGGGGGGATGATTCGTCAGGTGGGCGCGCCACGAGGGAGGCGGGCCTTCGGCCTCAAAAAGACGAATGAAGCCTTCCAGACAACAAGGCGCCCATTCTGACACGCCCACTCCGTCCAGGCACGGCGGCGGATTGTCACGTCTCGCTCTCTGCAGTCGAAGGGGTCAATCGCTGTTTGTCTGGTCGCATCCGTCTGGTTTCTTGCGCATGTGGACGCTCTGTCCTGGGCCCGGTGCCTGTCGCAGCAGAACTTGGCAGGGAGGGGGGACTGAAGGCATTGATTTGCAACATGCGTCGTGGCCCCTGAAGGCCACGAGCGGCTGGGTGAAGCTCCTCACTGAGCCTGGGTACATTGCGATCACAGCGGGCGGCCAGTCGCTCCTACACCAGCGGGAGGCTCCTTGCGGCAAGAGCCGACGGCAGGAGGAGAGCAGCTAGGGCAATGAATGTATCCACAAGTTTCTCTCTTAGGCAGAGGGAGTTTCAGGTATGATGCAGTGAGCCGTCATAACTTACATAATCTGTCACTGGGGTCGTCGCGAAGCCAGATCTGACCCCCGTTGAAGTACTTCACATGTTGTTTTCCTGACCTGGGCAAGTGACAGCCACAGTATGTTCGCCGCTGCAGGGCGATGCTTCACGGTGTCGAAATCATCGTCTGTGTTCCAAGCTCCCAACGATTGCCAGAAATCCGAAGAGTACGCCTTAACATGGCCGCGGCTACCCCAGAAGCCCTGATTGCAGCCTTGCCCTGCGTGCTAGCAGATCAGAGAGTCTGTAGTGTAAGCACGTGTTTTGACTCAGCCTTGGTTCGTAGGGCTATGCTGGCAAGTCGACGTCGCAGGTCGTGAGCCAATTTCTCATCGCTGGCTGTACCCACGTGTAGCCCACGCGCTGATGCTCGTTCGATGCTCGGTGTGGTTCCTTGCGCAGCGAAGCTCCGAGCAGACGTTGCAGGCGAACGCAGCGGCGAGTGTCCAAGCAGCGCTCCCCAATGGCTGCCTCCCTCCCCCAATTCCCCGCACTCTCGATCTACTCGCTCTATCCGCTTGCGTCCCCCCCTCGTGGAAAGGGTTACTCTGACTAGGGTGGTGACCAGGGGGCTTGGCCAGGAGGGCTGGCTGGCTCGCGCCATTCACTCGCGTGTGAGATCCACTCGGCTCGCGCCACTCGGCGCGGGCAACCGGTCTCATTGGGGCGGCTGGGTCGGCGGGGGTCGGTGGGGGGGATGTCGGGCAGTCCCGCGGGCACGGGGATGTGGGCGAGTGACGGTGTGGCATCGGGCGGCGACGGCGCGCGCGTGCCAGAAAGCAGTGGAGATGGTGGCGGTTGCTGCGAGCGTCCACGGGTAACTCTTCGGTCGGCACCTCTCTCCCTCCGTCACCCGCGGAAGCGCGATGAGAGCGCGAAGAGAGCCGCGCTTCGTGCGCCGCGGTCCGCGCCCCGCCGACCCTGTCGGGCTCCTGGTCCCTCCCTCCCTGCGGGCATGGCCCGTGGTCTTTCTTTTGGTCTCTCTCTCTCTCTCTCTCTCCTCGGCGATCGGTGCTCTGTCTAATACGCCTACCGCTCCGGTAGCAAGTCATGGGAGGCTCGCATGCCCTCGCAAGTCCTTCTTCAGAGTGCACTCGCGTATGAGAAAGCGGAGGTGTAGGGTCGATGAGCGTCGTTTTGCATAGATTTAGCGCCGATGTGCGTCGATTAGCGTCACTTCGCAAGAGCCAGCAAGGCTTCCATGAGCTGCCACCGGACCTACCGCTGCCTCAAATGCTGGGCGCCAAGGGGGTGGGGCATGGACAACGAACTCGGCTCCAGAGGCTGGGTCTTTATCCAGGCCCCCACTGAGGCCCTTGGTGGAGTCCGGGCGTGAGCGGTGGCATTGATAAAGGGTCGATCGCCCATCCCCTTCGCCTCTCCTCTTCTCGGTGCGCCCTGGTCTTTACCCCTCTTTCAGCCGACTTGGTCTTCCCCTTCCCTTTTCCTCTCCCCCCCCTCCCTGCAGCGAGGTGGATTGAGAAAGGGTGTTTGTGTCACGCTGGTTTTGGATCCGCCGCCACTTTTTTTTTGACACGTTGTCGCTCTCTGCGCCGTGGGGCGCCCGGAACACCAACTGCACCGTCCTTTTGCCATCGCCCCTTGTCGTCGCTGGACCCGCTTTGAGCGGGGCTCCGCGTAGAGCAGATCGGTTACGAATGTCTTCTGCGTTGGGGGGTGAGGTGCATGGCGATCCGCGGTCCCATTCGAGTTTCGGGTCATACAGCTCCAGAGTGTCCCACATGTATTGTGGCCAGGAGCCGCCTTCCTTCCATGTACATGATGCGGACTTGTCGCGTCGGACTATGCAAGGTCATGTGTAAACTCTTGCAGCCCAATGTGTACAAAGGAAACCGCCCTCCAGTCGTGAAACTGTTCAAGGCGAGTGATGTTCGCGGTGCATTCGCCAGACCGAATATGTAGCAATGGGCTCACACTGTACATGCGTTTGCATTGCGCACGTACAAGCATGTGCGGTGCGATTGCGAGAGCCTCAGTACGAAGACCACCTGTGCTCCATCCGCTTAACCGCTGCAAGCTTTTCCGACGAATGCGCACAGCGGCCATGGGAAAACCACACGTTGCCAACCACCTATTTTCCATCCATGTCGACGTTGCAAATTTGAATGCGCATACGTGCGGCGATGGCGAGAACCACAATCTGAGCACTACTTGTGTTTCACCTGCGTAGCTGACTTATGCGTCAAATAAAGTAGTCACGGAGCGGAATGAAGAGAGAGAGGATGCCCATGAGAAGGTGTGTCACGTATCGTTTATTCGTGCAGGTTGTTGCGCGTGAGAGTTGTTGCGCGGTTGCCGCACGGTTGAGAGCATCACGCGACGAGTCGTTCAAGACCGAGGTTGCTCTCTTTGGTCGTTGCGTGAATGATGACATTCGGAACGATGTGCGGTAAATGGAATAACCAAGAGCCTATTGCGGACGCCTGGGTTCGAGCAACACTTTTATTTTTAGTATGTTGACGCGTCATTTGCTCTGACAGTTGGTGCCGATTGCGCTCGTTTTGCTCTCCTTATTGCCCTCGGGTCTCATCTGTCATTTATCGCTTGGGCTCTCAAGCGTGCGGCTCGGAAGGTATCGTACATGATCATCCCTCATGGTGGATGCAAAGGGTCCACTGCGGAGGTCGGAGCGATGCTTTTGCCGATTCAGTGGATTGCAATGCAACGCTGCGTGAGGGAGAGCTTTGTAGAGAGAGGGAGAGAGAGAGAGAGAGAGAGAGAACGAGAGAGAGAGAGGGAGAGGGAGAAACCAAGCTAGGTGTGCCCGCGCCACATCTGACATCATATCCCTCCCTCCCATCCCTTCCCACTGCGCTGATGTTCCCTCTATCCGCGGACGCGTGTCATAGTCGGCCTGGAACTCCAAACACAATCCCATCGTGTTATGCGCAATTGGACAAAGGGGAGCTGCGTACATAGGAGGATGAGGAGGAGGGGTTGGCCTGTGAGCAGAAGGACTAGCAGGAGGAAAAGGAGGATGAGGAAGGAGGGGCACGTAGACGAACAGCAGCAACAGGCACTTGAGTTGGAGGAGCGGGAGGAGCAGGAGGATCAGGGGGAGGCGGAGGAAGGGAGAAGAGTGTGGCGACAACGATGAGAAAGGACTCGGATCCAGAAAAGTGGCCCACGTGGAGGCGAGAGAGAGCGCGCCATTCTGAACGACGGGAGCACATCGCCGATCCGAAAATGAGGCCCGCGCTGCAGCGGGACCACAATTCTATTTTTGGAACCCCAAACAATCATATTGCAAGCACACATAGGAAAACAACTCGGCCCAATCCTGTGTGTAAGCGACAAGACGCGGAGGGGGTGGGATATCTTCCGCATGAAGTCAGGGGAGGAAGGAGAGTGGTATCTATGTCTTGCACGCGACGGTGGTATATGGTTTTATATAAGTGGGCACACGGGGCCGATGTCTAGTATCCAGTTATGGGGTATGCGCGGGCGTTGTTGGTTCAGCGTGTGGGGGCATGTGCCCGGCTTGTGCTGGGCATGTAATTACGGCATTGTTTGCAACGGGCGCGGCGTAATCTATCGACATGCACGTATGTGCGGGCACGTGCACAGCATGTGCGGGGGTTGCGTATTGATGCATTCACCAGAGTTCTTGCTCGGATCTCGCCACTTGGTTGGTATGTGTGGGTGTGCGGGCATGTGCGAAGGCACGGGCCTGATGTTCCTCATCCTCCCGCTCCTCCCCATCCCAAGTTTGGCTCCTCTCTCCGTTGTCCTTCTCCTCCTTCGTCGTCGTCGGCGGCCTCCTCCTCCCCCTCCTCCATCCTTCCTCCTTCTCTGCGGGCAATGCGTGTGCCTAGATCCACTGCAGCTTGTAGTTTCGGGCGCCCTTCCCCAGAAGCCCGAGGCGCACCGGATATGGATAAAAATCTGGCCCCCAATCCAGTGCGCCTCGGCTTTGCGGCGCCCCTTCCAAGAAAGTCCAAGACGGATTGGATATGGATATGATTAATTCTCGCGTTATTGATCCTCCTCCTTATCCATCCTCCTCCCTCCTCCCTTCTCCTCAGTCCTCTCCTCATTCTCCCCTCTCCCCCCGTTCTCCATCCCTAGTTTTCCTCGCCCTTCCTCCTCGCTCCTACTCCTACCTCCCCCCCCCTCCGCATCCCTCCTTCTCCTCCCCCTCCTCGTCCCCCTCCTCCTCCTCTTCTCATTTTCCTCATCCTCATCCTCATCCCAATCCTAATCCTCCTCTCCCTCGTCTTCCCTTCTGCTCCTCCTCCTCCTCCTCGCTGTCTCACTCTCTCTCTCTCTCTTTCTCTCTTTCTGTTTTTCCTCTCTCTCCCTGGACCTATGCAAATACTGTGTCGGCATGTGCCTGGCATGTGCTCGGCATGTGCAGGGTCAGGAGGTCACAGCCAGGTTAGGAGAAGGAGCGTGCACGATGTGGTTCATGGAGATGGTTTGGGGACATGCCAATGTGTGCAGTTGATGTGAACGTACGGCCTATGCGGGCATGAGCGGCAGGGCGGTGGCGTCCGCGGCGCCTTGCGCCTGTGTTTTTTCTTTGGGACTGTACGTCATGCGCGGGCATGTGCAGGGGGGACGGTGTCATCCGCGCTGCCCCGCGCAACGGTGCACAGGTGGGCATGCAGCGACTGTACGGCACGTGCGGTCAGAAACCAGACAGAGAGGGTATGCATGAGCCCAGCGGCAATGAACACATTAGACATGAGCGTTGGAAAAAGAGAGAGAGAGAAAGAAAGAAAGACAGCACGAAAGGGAGAGAGAGAGAGAGAGATACAAAAAAACAACAAAAGAGAGATAGCGAGACAAAGAGTGAGAGAGACAACGAACTATATGTATCCACATGCGTCGCTATGTAGTGTGAGACGGGGATAACATAGGACACGGACAACGAGACGGACATAACAGTGCAAGTGATGTAGGACAAATGGACGGATCTAACCATATACGCTGATACATATATATAGATATACGAGACACCTAGACACAGCGAGAGGGAGAACGCGAGAGAGAGAGAGAGAGAGAGACAGGGATAGTGGCATCCGCATAGTTATATGTGGCGAGTGGCGAGTGATGCACGCTACGATAGACCTAGGCCGGGCGCCTGTTTATAGTTAGAAGGGTACACCTATACGCAAGAATAAGTACACTGCGTATATATATATATAGAGAGAGAGAGTGAGCGAGAAACCATGCGAGAGGGATGGAGGGATGGATGGATGGAGGGAGAGAGTGAGACAGAGACAGAGAGAGAGAGCGAGAACCCGATGTGCATCGAGAGTGCAGGTAATTAAGTCCGGGGAGCGCGAGGACGGGACGACACACGCTCGAATAGCGATTTGATTTACGCAGAGGTCGGATGAATTCTTGCCCGCCATTCCGTCGTTGGCAATGGAAGTGCAGTATTGCAGCAAGTCCGCCTCGTGGAACAACGTGTTCTAGCGACTGCGGCGCCAGTGAGTTTCAGCGAGTGGTGCAAGAATGGCCTTCGGCCCATCTCGCCACCGCGCCTTGGCTGTAGGTCAGAGGCCTCTTGGATGCCTGTAGAGATCTCTTGAGAGGCCTCTCGGCAGTCTCGGTGGCGGAGTTCGGCGTCGGTTGAATCTGGAGTGCGAACTCGTATTGCTGGCGGTGCACAACTTTACACCAGAGAAAACCGTTTACAAGAGGTTTACTGACATTTTCGCAGGCTCTCCACTCCTGCCCGCTCTCTTTTTCTCTGTCTCTTTCCTTCTCTGGCTCTCTCTCTCTCTCTCTCTCTCTCTCTCTCTCTCCCTTTCTATTCCTCTCTCTGCTCGATTTGCTTGACACGCCCTCTAAATGTGCTCTGCATTCTGCCCCATAACCGAACATTATCGCTGCTCTTTGTCTCTTTGTCTCTCTCTCTCTCTCGCTCTCTCTTTCTTTCTCCCCTCAATTCTGCTCTCTTTTCGAACCCAGAACCCGGAACCCGGGAACCCGGCCGCCCACCGAAATGTGTCCAAAGCTTTTTGCGTATTCCTCACAGTCTCCGCTAAGACCTCTTCAAGCACTGGTTGGGGATGGAAGGGTTGCGATGTTCCACTGCTTTGCTTGGTGCATCGGTCGACCTCGGCGAAGCTTCTCTAGAAACCGCTTGCCTTTACAACACAGCAGGGCAGGACGATTGAGAGATGCGTCACTGCAACTGCTGCGTCCAACTAGTGTGTGGCAGTGAGTCTACTGGGTCTACTGCGCCACTGCGTCTCCAGCGTGGGACAGTTGGTTTGGGTGGTGTCCGCAGTGCCAAAATAGCGAGGCACCCGAAAGTTGCGAAACGGTCAATTTGCCAAGATAGAGCGAAAGGGGGCAGGAAAGGGGAGGGCAGTGTGCTGTGTGCCCTTTACATTGCTGCCCGCGTCCGCTCAGGATCCATCGGTTTTTCTCAGGCTTACATGCCCTAAGCAGGCGCGATACTTCCGCAGGTTTGGTGGGGCTGCCATCTTGGACCAGATCTCTCGGGCAGGTGTATCATATGATGCAATGTGGTTGAGATCCTCCTCCGATTTTGCCCCTACACAAATGTGTGCGTAGGCGGGGGAGAGTGGAGGACCACGAATGGGGGAATAATCGAACCATGTTGAGAGTGAGGCACTTGCCCGCTGACTTGGGGCATTCGTACCGTTCGTCTTGTTTTGTTGTGGAACCTGTAGCTGGAACCAGTCCGTCCCTGTAAAGTTGCTTGCGCACAATTCGAGCAGCGGACGCGCGTGCTCGCGTACGCATTTTCATGCATATGGTACGCATGTCTGTTTGCGTTTGTGTTCACGGGGCCGCGCTCGTGACAAGAGAAAGTACACGCTCAGGGTCTATGATGCTCTCAAGTCATTGTTCTGTCATTCTCATCGAAGGTGAATGGGCAAAGCGCGGCCATGAACAGCATTCCTGACAGCCTCTTCTGCACGGCCGCCGCGACGACCCTCGGCTACAGGAGCTCACCACGCAGCCTCATCCGATGGATTGGTTCTTTCGATTCGGATTTAGAGGCGGGCCCGATGACGTGACAAGGAGAACGCCACCTGGAAACTCAGAAAAAATATGGAATCAACATCGTGTGCCTTCTTTGTTGGATCCTGCGCCGGCAGGTGTCGTAACGGCTTGCTCGTCGATGTTTGACACCATTTGGATCGTTCCCGTTCAACACCGACCGATTCCCGACCACTGGCCGCGTTGATTCCAACGCCCGCGCCAGTGTCGCCGCCGCGTCGACACGACATAAACTGGCCGTTATGGTGGAACAATTGTTTTCTGGGGGCCGTGGCTTCCTACTCCAGGATACGTGTTCCTTGCGTCCGGATTGCAGTGGCTCTCAGAGGCCGACGCCGAACCCAAACCTCCGAAGATTGCAGGAGCTCCAGGAAACCTGGCGGCTTCCAGCGGCTCCGAACGGCATAGAACCAACAAGTGTATGAGGCATCATAGACCCCGAAGAGTGAGGTGTTGAACTCTGGCGCTGGAAGTTCAGCGGCTTCAACTATGTGATGTGACTTATGTCGTGGCAGCTGTGTGTAGGGTGAGCTATGCGGTGAAAGCTCTTCGGTGTTAGCTGCCTCGCTCTCGCCTGGCATTGCGAATCGTTCCCTGTCAGCCGCAGGTTTGTTTTGCGGAGGCTCCTCGTTGGAGAACCTCTTGGGGGCTTCACAAATGTCTCTCAAGGGCATTGTGAACCTCTGGAGGCCTCTTGGTCGCCTCTCTGGGCCGTCTCGGGGGTCCTTTAGGAGCTCATTTGGACCGTCTTGGGTCCCTCTTGGGCCTTGCTTGGACCTTCTTGGAGAATTTGGGCCCTCTACGGGCCTTTTTGGGGCCATCTTAAGATGGCCCCAAAAAGGACCCCGTGGGTCCCAATTGAGAGCTTTTGGAGGCCTCGTGAGCTTTTTGAGGGCCGTCTTGCGGCGGTGTAGGGGCCCTCTTGGGCTGTCTTGAAGCCTCTTGTGGGCCTCTTGGGCCGTCTTGGGGCGATCTCGAAGGCCCCCTGGGCCGTGGTGAACGCTGCTGCGACACAAAAAACGAAGATGTCGAACATGTACGTTTCCCCAATGGAATGGGACGATGTTTGCCTTTTGGGGCCCCTCCTGAAGGCGTCTTGGGGCGTCTTGGGGGCCTCTTGGGCCGGCTTGGGGGCCCCGTGGGCAGTCTGGAGGCTGTTTTGCCCTGTCTTGGGGCTCTCTTTCGCCTCTTCGACCACTTCTCTGATCGTTTTGAGTCTGCTGGGCAAGGCCCAGCAAGGTGCCCTGGGAGGCGCAGCAGGGCTGGGGGACCTCTTCGGAGGGCGTCCAGCGGGCCCCGAACCCCAGGATCCCGGGGTCACGGTTTTTGTTTGTTGGGGGGGTGACGGGTTTTCGCCCCTCTGGCTTGAGAGAGAGAGAGAGAGAGAAAAAAAAAAAAAAAAAAAAAAAAAGAGAGATACACAAACAAACAATGGAGAGATGGAGATAACAAGAGAGAAAGAGAGAGAGAGAGGGAGAAGGAGGGAGGGGAGAGAGAGAGAGAGAGAGAGAGAGAGAGAGCGAGAGAGACAGAGAGCGAGAGAACGAGAACCAGAGAGAGGGAGAGAAGCAGAGCGAGAGAGAGAGAGAGAGTGAGAGAGAGACAGAGGGAAATAACTCGAGAGAGAGAGAGAGAGACCGAAAGTGTGATAGAGAGAAAGGGAGAAAGAGAGAGAGAGAGGAAACAAAAGCATACGCACTACCCTATAAAAGCAACCCCCTTCTTCTTCCGCTGCGGGCGCTCCTACCCTCTGGGCGCCACTTTGTGCACCGCCAGGCGAGGGGGGACAACGTCATAAAAGGGATGGTCAAGGAAGGTGGCTCTCTAGCGACGGCTTTGTGGAAAGGGTTGGATTAATTGCCTTACTATATCATCCTCCTCCCTCTTGCAAGGAACGCAGACACGTTCATGGAGAACGGGGACTGTTTGATCCGCGGGGATGGCGGGCACAAACACAAAGTTTGCTCCACACGGAGTTACGATGGCATGTACGTGTCGGAGGTCACTTTTTTACTTGTTGATGCGCGGCCTGGCGCATGGGATGCTCACGAGCTGTGCTCTACCTTGTTGAAGCATGCCGTTGCGCACTTCTCCTCAGAGATCATGCTTGTCACACCGTGTTGCCATCAGTGGTAGGCCGCCAGGTCTAGAATGCTAATCCTCGGGGTGCCTCGATATCCATCCTCCCCCAATATGCATGCTGCCGGCGCGGCTGTACTGCATATAGTGTTCGTCGGGCAGCCGAGCCTTCGATCAAAGCGAGTGTTCCGATTCCTTTGTTTTTTTTCGATTGCACGCTTGGTCTCGGCCTCTGTCGTTGTCTGGATCCCCACCAACTCTGCTATAGGTAGATGGTGGGTGACCTTTCAGAGGACGACGTCTTCAACGCACACTTTTGGAGCTTTGTAGAGCCATCCGTCTTCTATCTGGTGCCAACTCGGACCCTGAGCCTGAGCCTTTGCCCGTGCCAGTTGCCCTCCGCCTGCTCAAGCGTGCTCGTCAGGCCCCTCCAACAGAGCGGCATGCAGAACGGGTTCGACCGCGCCGACATTCGTGCTTAATCCGCCCGCGTAAGGCCGCGCGAAGGCACCTTCGTCCCCGCGCGGTGTGCCGCGTCAGCGGCTCGTGTGCGCCATCGCGAAAGGTCGCTGTATTGTCGTGCGCCAGACCATTATTGCCGCTTGTCGCTCCAAAGGGCGCGCGCCCCGCGATATGCATTGCACTGCGACGCGAGGCAGTCCCCCGTTTGTCGGCGAAGGGTCGCGCGGGTGGGCGAGGCGCCTCTCCCCTCCCCGCCCGTTCGGATGCAACTCCTGTGAGGTCAAATTCTGATTTTGCCCTGGTCCGAAATCCGACTTCATCTGGCTTAATCCCGCTTCGCCGGTTCTAATATCGTTTGACTTGTCTTAATCCCGTTTAATGGGCGGCCGAATGCGGCGTAGTAGCCCCCAAATGTGATTAATCTTCCATCGTCCTTCCGACGAAGACCTCCAAATATGTTCCTCCTAACCCCGCCCTTCAGGTCACAGTCTCGGAGGTTGCAAACGCAGGAGGATGAGGAGAGAGGAAGGAGAGGAGGATGCGGAGGAGGCGGAGGAGGAGGAGGCGGAGGAGGAGGAGGGGGAGAAGGGGGAGGCGGAGGAGGAGGAGGAGGAGGAGGAGGAGGAGGAGGAGGAGGAGGAGGGAGGAGGAGGAGAGGAGGAAAGGAGGAGGAGGAGGAGCAGGAGGAGGGAGGAGGAGGAGGAGGAGGAGGAGGAGGAGGAGGGGGAGGGGAGGAGGAGGAGGAGGGGGAGGAGGAGGAGGAGAGGAGGAGGAGGAGGAGGAGGAGGGAGGAGGGGAGGAGGAGGAGGAGGAGGAGGAGGAGGAGGAGGAGGAGGAGGAGGAGGAGGAGGAGGAGGAGGAGGGGCAGGAGGGGCAGGAGGAGATGGAGGAGGAGGAGGAGAAGGAGGAGGAGGAGGCGGCGGCGGCGGGCTCATCAGGAACGCGAGTCTGAGTTCGGCCGAAACTGAAAACAAAAAGTTAGCTCTGGTTCCTCGAGTGCGCATAATATGCGGTGACTTAGCACGTGGGGGGGGTCACGCGCTCCTCGACTCACAGAACGGACATATCCCTGTGGCCAGAAGCGGGCTGAGCTCCACAAAATTCTTCGGGGGACTACCATCGAGAAAAACTGAGGCGGGCGGGAACCCTAATTAAGTCGAAAAGTCAAATAGACGTGGGGCAGCCAGCACCCAGGGTCCAGTTAAACACCGCAGACCAGGGGCCCCAGGACCAAACTACGCCAGAGAAGAACGCAAAACACTGGCGCCCACCAATAAGAGGGCGCGAAAGGGCAAAAAGCCACCTGAACAGTGTCAGGCTACTGATATTTCCTGGGTGCAGCCCCGATCAACCTCAAGATGCTGGCATTCAAGCTGGAGGAGGAAGTGAGACGAGGAGGGCTCGAGCGAGGAGGTGTTTCGACCCCTGGCCCGAGGTCTGAGGGGCCGACTTTGTTGTTTTGGCGGTCGACCCCGAGGCCTGAGATGGTTTTCGGAGGGGCCTTTTTAGAATTATCGTCGGGCCCCGAGGTGTGAGGCAAGGGCCCTCGACCTCGAGGCGAATCCTGCTTTAAGTAGGTGGGTGTGGTTAGCCGAGCCGACCACACTTCTTAGGAACCAGAGGAACTAGAGGAGGAGGAGGAGGAGGAGGAGGAGGAGGAGGAGGAG